CCTCAAGTTTCCCAAACATCTTGCACCAGGGATATTGAAACACGACCCATTATAGGGAGTAATTAGTAAAATGACAAGTTGAAAAAGAAATCCCGGTAATCTGCCACAGTATAAATGGGATGCAGTAGTCTCATTGCTATTTATAGAGCAACAAGTAGTGTGAGAGTCACCAGCTCGCTTAAGGTCAAGGCTTCTTCGATCATACGTTTTGTTAGCACTTAGTCGATATGCCGCAGTTAGTTAATGCCCAGCAACTATTTATAGTGCTGGCTGATTTTCTTTAGCATTAGGCAGATAATGTCGGATGAAGCTGGCTAGCTGCTAGGCTTTAAAGAAGGAGGAAGAAATTATTCCGAGTATGGCAGTGTCTTTCCAGGGATCTACTATGCATTATACAAATTGAATGTGGGGTTAGTCAGCTCGCTTGGTATATGGGTCCACAATAATCGCTCTTTACATTTGGCTGGAGGCTAGACTAAACATGATGCAAGTGGCCAGGGACAGAAGTCAGTGGAGGGTTAAAGAGGAGGCCTATGTTCGAAGGCGAACCCTCCTAAACGCTGATATAGATAGACTAGCGGCCGCCCGTGACACGGTAATACTATCTATACAGTATTCCAACTCGGCCATATTTTTGAAATAAATGTCAACAGCCCCGCGGTACGTCACCGTATGACAACATGCGATAGGGCTGCCCACCTACAGTACCCATTCTAATTACATCTGTCTACTTAGAATTTCTATCTAGTTTTGTGATTGTATTTTTTTTAGGGACAATATTATTTGATCCTCTAAAAACTAATTGATCTTTTTTGTATGTGCGCTTTTAAAAATAAATGATGTATTTTATTGTATTTTATCTTTATATTAATTATTGGGTCTATATTAGTTGATCTACGGATAAATTATGAATGATCTTCATTTAAGGTAACATAATATTTATGTTTAACATACTCTTTTAATATTTGGTAAACAAAAATAATATTTGATCCTCTTTTTTAGTTATTGATCTTTAATTTTGTTAATTTGATGATTTTTATATCAAGTTTGCCTTTTCATATTGATCACCTAATAAATACATTTCGATCTATGTATAACTTAACTTTAAAATATATTTGATCTTACTAAAAATATTATTGGTTAATATTTTTAATTAAAAATTATCTTTTAATTTATGTGGTACTTTGTGGTTGAGTGACAATCGTCCGTCATTGGTTACTGAGTTGGCCAAGGGCTTAGCGAAAACGGATGAAACGAGGTACGTGGGATTCTGATAGTTTTAACACTCAGGTCGATTCAATCAATTTTATCTGGCGATCTAGGTCGATTTACGGGGAAAACAACCTACTTAGTGGCATCTCCTGGGTTCAGATCCAAAGGTAAATATTCCAAAAGTTCGGGAAACTGGATATCCAGAGACCCCACAGAGATTCACCAACAGCCTTTGCAACGACTTCAACCAGGGTGGCTATGGTGGTAAACTAGGCTAAANTTTTTGCTAATTTAAAAAGATCATTTAAATACATGCCTTTTTTTTATTTAGACAAACAAAATACTTTGTTTGTCTTTAGGATAAAAATGCGTGTTGTTTTGTGTTAGTAGATTTAATTTTTTTTAAATATACTAAAATAATTTTGAATCTACTAATCATAATGAGTACTTAATGACCTGTTACTTTAATTTCAGGCGGATGAAGTCGTGGGCAAAAGCTGGTTTAATACAATATATTTTTTATTTCAAATCAAACTGACTGAAAATGACCATTTTTGACTGTTAATAACTTGTTTTCGACAAATTTGACCGTAAATGACGGTAGTCAAATTCAATCACCTTAGTCATTTTCAACACTAGCTAGGCCATCGACGTCCGTTCGGCACATTCGCGACACCCCTAACCCTAACTTTTGGATTTCGACCGCGTCCCGAGATTTGAAATTCGAAGGAAAGCTCGCGTTTCGTCGGTTTATATGAAGTTGTATGATATTATTACCGTGCCCGTGACTTCGTACGCGTGGATCCCGTTTTACCCCCTTAGCGGTGGAGTTTCGTAAAATCCTTTCTTAACGGATGCCTACGTCATAACATCTACCTGCATGCAAAATTTCAGCCCGTTCCGTCCAGTGGTTTGGGCTGTGCGTTGATAGATCACTATGTCAGTCAGTTAGTCACCTTTAACTTATATATATATTTAGATAGATCTACATTTGAATTTGAGAATGATCCACGATTGCTTTGCTGAAAAGATGTGGTCTGAACCTACTGTATCCTGAATCCATTGCCGATCTACTTCGAAGACCTCTTTGTCGAAGTTTTTTTATTTAATTTGAAGAAGGAAAGAAGGGTTACGGTTTCAAAGGAGAATTTTTAATGTATTCTCTATTGGAGAGTTTATTAGCGTCGTTGAGATAATAAAAATAAAGGGAAACTTTGCAGGTCAGTAGGCGGATCTAAGCTAAGGTTGAATAATTTAGATCTATCGTAAATTAGTAGGCTGACTGCCTTTTAAGTGGATAAAGGAAAAGATAAAATAACGAGGAAAGTGTTTGGATAAAACAAAGTAAACAGTTTGAATGTACCTACCTAAATAATCCTAATCTATTCTAATTATGGCTCTGAGACATGGTCGCTTACTATGGGCCTCATAAGAAGGCTCAAGGTCACCCAAAGAGCGATGGAGCGTGCTATACTCGGAGTTTCCCTGCGTGATCGAATCAAAAATGAGGAGATCCGTAGGAGAACCAGAGTGACTGACATAGCCCGCAGAATCGCTAAAATCAAGTGGCAGTGGGCGGGGCACATAGCTCGAAGAGCTGATGGCCGCTGGGGCAGGAAAGTTCTTGAGTGGCGACCACGAGCTCGAAGACGTAGCGTGGGCAGGCCTCCCACTAGGTGGACCGACGATCTGGTGAAGGTCGCGGGAAGTACCTGGATGCAAGCGGCGCAGGACCGGTCTTTGTGGAAATCCTTGGGGGAGGCCTTTGTCCAGCAGTGGACGTCTTTCGGCTGAAACAACAACAACAACATTCTAATACTAGCGGCCGCCCTCGACTTTGTACACGTGGACCCCGTTTTACACCTTTAGGAGTTGAATTTTGCAAATCTCGCCGTAAAAACCATCTTTGGACTTCAACGAACATTTAAAAAAAAATAATTGATAAAATTGCAGACACATTTTGCGATTCATTTTTATATAAGAACATTTTTCATGTTTTTGTTTGTCATAAAGTACTTAATCAACACATTAGACATCACAGCTGTGCCAAAAGTTGTCCGAACTTAGACTGCTTGTTTAGGCCTCTTTACTTTCCCGCGAGTCCCACCAGATGGGGGCAAATGATAAACATAGGGGCCAATGATACAGGTTCGTTATGGATGATTATGTGGACAGAAGTTCCATACATATCATTGTATAAACATCGTTACGTTTCTACCTAAAAGTATTGAATGCTAACCGTCTTTTTGGAATTACAGGCCCATATTATTTGTTTACACATAGGCCCTGGGTAACTGTCATTGTATTAAATATCGTTAAGTTTCTATCTAAAATTATTGACTGTTTAATATTGACTGCTTACCATCCTTTTGGAATCACAGGCCCATATTATTTACGCTCGCTCTGGGAAACTATTTCCCACCAAAAGAATTTTCCTGTTAAATGTTTCCAAGGCGAGATCATAATATTATGGTTCGCACCGTGACAAAATTGACAGATTTCATGTAGAACCAGGCTTCTAACTCTACTTGCACTAACTTCTTAACTCTATCTCTTAGTCAAAATATGTGGCATGCCACATACATAACGGCCATGGCCGTTTAGCTATCGTCACATGGGTGTAAGGTAAAAAAAATCTCCCGACTTACAATTATTGATTTGTAAAGAAAATATAAACAAAAACTTTTTCTTAATTTAGTTGTTTTTTAGGTAAGTACCTAAGTGACGTGATTTCCACAAATGAATCGAGTGACCCTACTGCACACATACTCTTAGTTTCCCCTTTTTATACGTTTCTCTTATAATGTTAATAGGCGGCCTCTGGGAGTACAAGTTTACCCTCAATGCTCCCAAGATAAAAGATTTTATGCTACAGGAAATTCCGATTGACACGTGGAAGGTCTTGTGGGGGATTGTATTATAAAGAATGGCCTCCGTGGAAATATAAATTAACACACGGTAATACGCAGTCTGCAAAAAATAAATACGGGACAGGATTTCCTTCTACATTGCCTCATTTTCCTGTAGGAACAAAATTGTTAAAAGGATACAAGAGGGAATAAAAAGTGTGTGTTTCGACCTGAGATAGACGCATTCTTAAGCTAAACACTGTTCAGTTGTTATAGTGCGATTTTGCAATAAATATGTACTTTACCTTCTTTAAATTCTAAACACTGGCTTACAAATATTTAGATAACCTGGCCTGATAGACTAACAACTTTAATGCAAGCGTCAGTAGGGAGTTTGAATCCCGTTGGGATCAAATATTGATCTCATGCCTACACGAGAATTTTAAATCAGGAGTCATATAGGTAAGTATTGAATAAATATTAAATTATGAAAAACTTAGCTCAGAACACTGGGCTATATTATTCACAGATCGCTATATTATTTGGGCGACAGCGGAGCAAAATCTTTCTATGCAAGAAAGCACCGCAGTAAGTATACGTGAATACTTGGCTATACAAATCGCAATAGCGCGAATCTTCGGGTTATCGCGACGTGTGTGGCCTAAGGGATATAGATTACCCACACTGAACTGTCCCACCAAGAGTTTAGTGGGACAGTTCAGCGTGGGTCAACTATATTGACGGTGGCGCCCCACTGTCAATGTCATGGATAGGACAGTTCAGTATTTTAGAACTATAGGTGACTTTTCTTTAATAATTATTGCAAAGTCGAGTAAAAACTTTGTCAAACTCTGACAAGTACGGTTTGGCGTAAAAAAGAATAACCCGTCAAAGTCTTCTTTGACATTTCCACTATCATGGACCCGACAATACAGAAAATGCAGTAAAAACAAATTTAATCAACAAAAACTACTTTTCAAACGATGGAATCGCACAATTTCAGGAGGATTGAATTACTTTTATGATTGACAATTAAAATGTTAAAGATTTAGACGGAAAAATACATAAATGAGCGGTCACTGGGCTCCGAAAATTAAGAAAGAAAACATTATTTGTTTTCTCAATTCATACTGCAGCAGGAAGTGGAATAGAATATCAATGGGTATTATCAATAGCAAGGATTTGAAGAAGAAGATCAATGAAGCCACGAGTAATACCAGGTTTGAGTAAATTATAACCAAAAACTGATCATGGTTGTTTGTCGGCTGCTTCAGGCTTTCAGTCAAATGACTTCCACTGTTGAACAAAAGCGAGGGATGCTTTTGTGAGGAGGATGTAAAGGATTTCCATAACTATCGGTCCTGCACTACCCGCAAGAAGTGTATAGAAGTTTATGATTACCTACACTACTGGGTCAATTAGAACATCTTATTCGCCTTCTAGTAACTATTAAATGCTATAATCGACAAATAATCTGTTATTTAACATTAAGTTTGTGTTATTTTTCAGTCTATCTAACCTGCGATACGTAATCACTGAAAAACCAAAATGGAAAGTGTTCAAAAAGAGAGAGTAAGTTCAGTTTACACTACTTGAATTATTAATAGATAACCACTACAAAACAAAACAATTTAGTTGTATCAATCAAGAAGTCATATCGATAGAAATCGATCTTTTTACCGACACTTTTTTTTTAATTTACAACGCTCGTGGCCTGCATCTCACCTGATGGAAAGAGATGATCAGGCAGAAGGTGAAAGCGAGCTTCACCGTGAATCTTCAACCACAGAGGAACTGGCTATCTTGCCTCCAACTGTCAGAACACAACATTACATTGTTAATATTGTATTTAGAGAAGCAGGACTTTTAAAAGTTTGAATTTTCAGGGTAACAGCTATACCAGCGTACCACACCTCCCTAAAACCCTTGCGAGGGTGTCCCTGCGGCAACAACAGTCCCTGCAAACAGAAGGTCACTCCGAGAGGGGTCACTATACACTACCCTCAGAAGTAAGTGGCACTTAACATGGATGATATACCATTTACCGCACTGGATGCGTTCTGAGGTCTGCGGTTAGGTCAAACGGGACTATTCCCACCTCTCGTTCCCACCACTGCCACTCCTGTGTAGCCAGGATCTACCTACAGCTTGACCGCCAATAAAAACCCAACCAGTGAAGGTCAATCCCGGGGGAAAGTTAACTGTCATTGGACCCGCAACGAAATTAATCAGAAGAACATAGGAGTTCCAATATAAGGTTCGACAGATTGTCTTGCCCTGACCGCTGACCGATTGCCCTGACCGACAATGTTGTTCATACCTACATGATACGGGCTGCGTTCAACCTCTAGCCTCAGTACGCATCCAGTGGGACTCTTTGTGAATTTTTTACCAGTAAGCCTAGGCATAGCTCGTAGAGCTGATGGCCGCTGGGGCAGGAAAATTCTTGAGTGGCGACCACGAGCCGGAAGACGTAGCGTGGGCAGGCCTCCCACTAGTTGGACCGACGATCTGGTGAAGGTCGCGGGAGGTGCCTGGATGCGAGCGGCGCTGGATCGGTCTTCGTGGAAATCCTTGGGCCTCCCCCAATCCTTTGTCCAGCAGTGGACGTCTTTCGGCTGAAACGAACGAACGAACGAAGCCTAGGCACAGACCACCGACTTTTTGTTGGCCGATAGTTGGGCCCGATTCTAACTTGAATGAAGAATCGGCCGATACCAAATTGGCGTAATGTGCGCACGTTCATACATCTCCATTAACAGCCCGTTCGTTTCAACTATCGTCCAACTAAAAGTCAGTGGTCTGCGCTAAGCTTATCAATTACTTTTTGATAGAGGGTTTTACTATCAATGTTTTGTTTACTTACTTCAGGAAGAAAAAATTTCGAACGCTAGCTGGAAAAAGTTTTAAATCACCAAAAGTAGACAAAGGCTATCTGAGTACAAAGTGAGTATTACCATTCTTCCGTCAAACTTGTTCATGGACGTCAAAAACTTCGAAACAGGAGCCAAAATGACGAATTCCATGGACATGTCGGTAAATTTATCTCTCTCCGAAGATCCTGAATCGCATGTTTTTCTTATTTATAAGATTTAATGTCAATCTGAACGTGGATCTCAAACGATTCATCCCAAAATTGCCACATTTGCCAAAAATGCCGCAAATGCCACATTTGCCGCATATGCATATGCCACGCATGCCACGTTTGCCACGGCGGAAGGCGAAAAGGAGTTTGAGCAGAGACTTTATGTTTATGCCATTTTTATTTTCCTGAGGTAAGTTTTAGCATAATTTTCTTTTATTGGTACTTGTTTTAAGTTTATGTCCGTCGCATAAATACTGTAGCATAATAATTCAAAAGATTTTGAACAACACTCAAGTTTTTATTTATTATGACTGAAAGACGCTACGTAATATTTTATCAGTATTTTTTCAAAATTTACTTTACCCTAAGCCCAGTCACTCACCTTATGTGTTGACTAGCTGCCGCCCGCGACTTCGTACGCGTGGATCCCGTTTTACCCGTTAGGGGTGGAGTTTCGTAAAATATTTTCTTAGCGGATGCCTACGTCATAACATCTACCTGCATGCCAAATTTCAGCCCGATCCGTCCAGTGGTTTGGGCTGTGCGTTGATAGATCACTATGTCAGTCAGTCAGTCACGTTTGAGTTATTTATATTATACCTACAGTCAGCGCCAAATAGCGTGACACCCAAAGTAGCCAAAAAGTCCGCAACACGTCTTTGTTACAATTGGAATAAGGTTGTGTCATGACGTGTTGTCAACTTTTTGGCCACTTTGAGTGTCACGAACAATTTGACGCTGACCGTACTCATGATTATTCCAATAACGATTCCATGCCATGCATCATACGCTCCCAAGACATTGTCTTGTGTACAATTGCACATTAAGTGGATGGGGAAATCGATACGCCTACGTCATAGCTGTGTAATGATGATATACCTACAGACGACGGCATTATGTTGAAACTTATGTAGTTTTAGTAAGGACGATTTTGCAATAAAAATGTATAGTGAGTCGACTATATTTCAATATGAAGCTATTAGAAGCAATATTGCTCAGGCTAGTACGAAAATTTCTTGGAAATTATTCCATTATGGTTGCGAAATATTTGGTAAAGTTCTGAACATCAGGCCTCCTCGCCCATCTGATTAGGCGTAAGGAGTATATCATCCATTTGCCTCTGGTAATTTAGAGAGTCGAGCACCTGGAGTGGGGACTAAATGACCTTCTAGACTGTGCTACAATGTTCTAACCACAGAAGGTCATAGCAGACTTATCAACTCGGAAAGGGATCAACGCCGTATCGCCTTTCGCGAGCTGTCATCGCCTTTCGCCCGCTGTCAATCGCGAGGAGTTTACGTTACGATGCCGATAAGTGTGCATTGCAGTATGGAGTTTCATACAAAGAATACTGACCGCCTCGAGTTGATACGGTCACGATAACTTTCCGGGTTGATAAATATGCTGCAATAGGACGTCCACAGCTGAACATAGGCCTCCTCAATGACTTCCACATCGCACGGTTGGTAGCGGCCTGCATCCAGCGCCTTCCTGCTACCTTTATCAGGTCGTCGGCCCACCTTGTGGGTGGACGTCCCACTGCTGCTTCCTTAAATCATCCTATTTTATTTAGGTTTTTAGCCATGTCAGAAATTTTTGTCATTTCTTTTAGTCTAAAAGGACTGTGACCTCAGTTGCTACCTAGACCTACACATTACGTAATACTCTTAAAAAAATTTAGGATGTTATATTGTGACTAAAGCGATACCATTCTTTCAGCCCACGGCCAGTGCCCAAAGTGAAATTATATAGACCGAAAAAGTTCACAGCCTGGAGGTTAGACAAGATCACCTATAACACGCCGTACTTAAAGTAAGTTGTGTAATATAACCATAGGTCTTGTGTATAACCAGAGTAAATACAAATGAGTAGGTTATCTTCATAGAAACGCACCGAGCGCGTTTTGTATGTGAGCGTGCCAATACTTATGCGGTGCGCACGCACATACTGAGTAATTATGTTGCTGTCGCGCTCGCACACTCACTGCGGGCGCGCGTCGCACAGTCGCGACAACAATATAATTACGCGCGAGCGATAAGGATGGGTAGCTTGGGGTCATTGGACGGGATTCTACGTGCTCACGGACCAGGCTTTAGATAGGATAGGTTTTGTAATAGGTAACAAAATTGAGTTTAGTGACATGGAATCAAGATCAATTTATGTATGTACTAAGTTTTACAAACGTTTTCAATTTTTCTTTATAGTTACGCAACTTTTTTTATTCATAATTCTTGTTCCTTATTAATAATTGTTTTCTATTTCAGCCCAACGTCTCCTCTACCGTCGACATCGTAGCGAACCTTTGTGAACAGACAGAATCAGTATCATCCACAAACTATGTATATTGTTTACCTAATGTAGCCGTTTTAGATAAATATACTCAACTGGAACATATCTTGTGCATTTATTGTTATTATCCCAAATTTATTTTTTCAAAATTCAAATCAAATTCAAACACCCTCCCGTGCTGTTCGCATACCTCAGACACTGACTGACTTAAGTGCTAGATCAGAATACTTATAAGAGAAGAGTCACAGGCGAAGTCGAGTATAGAAAAATAATATAAAGTATCCCCTCACCGATATTACGTTGACATAACAGCAAAGGTACTAACATTTGCTACCGATGATATACAGCCGTGCCCACAGTTTACGATGTAAAGGCTTAGGGCCAGCGCAGACTTGGCGAGTCGTGGCGCAGTTTTTCCTTCATGAGGTTTTAAGCGTCGTTAGGAGCCGTCAAGAACCAAAACCGAAGGCAAACTTCAGGCGATCCTGTCAAGCGCTTCGCAGCGTGGTTTTGATGAGGATCCTTAGAAGCTGCTCCTCCGTTCAACGGCTCGAGAACTTCGGTGCAAAGCCGGTGAGGCACATTTCAGGCGAAGATGTTTGAGAAAGAGAAGATGTTGAGAGGTCGCGCAGTAGTTCTCGTGGCTGCTTGACTGCGCATGCGAGTTATTTCCTATTAAAGTATATGCTTTGGCATTTTATATCCAAAAGTCATGGCATCGTAAGTGGCCATGTGCGGGGCACATAGCTGGTGTAGCTGATGACCGCTGGCGCAGAAAAAATTCTCGAGCGGCGACAACGGGTCGGAAGACGTTGTGTGGGCAGTTGCCAGACTAGGTGGACCGATGATCTGGTGAAAGTCGCGGGCAGCACCTGAATGCGGCCTTTGTCCAGCAGTAGACGTCAGTAGCTGAAACCGTATGACTTTTAAAATATGTCTTCCTGCTTCTAGCTAGTCTGCTTGTGACCACGGCTGCAGTATAGCAGTCGTAACGTCAAGCCGTAAGTACATTATGTACCTAACTCATATAAAAAATGACACGTTGGAGACCCATGTTTCTTTCGTTCGTTTCAGCCGAATGACGTCCACTGCTGGACAAAGGCCTCCCCCAAGAATTTCCACAAAGACCGGTCCCACGCCGCCCGCATCCAGGCACCTCTCGCGACCTTCACCAGATCGTCGGTCCATCTAGTGGGAGGCCTGCCCACATGCCATGTTTCTTTATTTTAGTTGAAATAGGGTTTTATCATTTTTTTTTTGTGTCTCCTAGCCAGGTCTGCGCCGGCCCTTATAATATACGCATAAAATGTTAGTTATGCCCGAAATTTTATTGCCTGGCCCGTCGCATGTTATTTGAGGTTATGCTCAATTTCGCCACTCAAATTTTGATGTGGGAGTAATGGATGGGAATATGTTTTTGGCGCTGTAATTTTTTGTGAGCATTTTAAAGTAATGAATAATATTCCGCACTTTTTTGCAAGTGAACATATTTCGATCGAATTTAAAAACTTAGTAAGACTCTCGATTGACTACTCGTAATTTTATCTGATGAAACATCTTAATTCTGTAAACTGATATAATGTAGAAATGACGGAGTAAATTAAAGTTGAATGAAGTTATTCAAACTGGTTAGAGCTAAAGAATTTGCTAAAAGTGAATCTACAGTCTTTCTACAGTCTATCTTGAGTTATTAAAGTAAAAAAAGTTTGTTCAATTTCACGCATCACCGTGGATAACCTGAATATATGCTGGTATAAAAATCGGTCCACCCTTTTTGTAAAACTTTAGTCTACATCGTTATAGGCCTAAAATTGACGACATATCTAGTGCCAAAGAAAATCCATCCTTCCAACTAACGCAATCCCTCATCAGAAAATTCCGGCGTCCAATTTTCCCCCCACAATTTGAGGCGCCATTAAAAATATCGTCGATTGTCAATTTCGCGAAGACGCAATCGATTGTCAGCCTGTCGACGCGTGTGACTGATGGGCCAACTACGTACCACCTGCGCTTTTCGTCTGTGTGCCGAAAGTTAGAGGATTTGGCGCTTTTTTATATTTTTCAGACAGTTTTTCTGCAGCTCGATGGAACAGCGAGCTCAAATTCATTAATTTGTTTTAGACTAATTTAATTGATAACTCCCAAACCTGTTCTGGCCAGCGTGAGGAGTGTAGTCCGAGTCCTCCATCTCATCTTCATTTCAGCCACAGGACGTCCACTGCTGAACATAGACCGCCCCTTTACACCTTTTTCATCTACCTCTAGCAAATTAGAGTGCAGTGGAGATTAAATGATCTGATGATGATAATCTGATGATGATGATAAATTAGTACTTGGTAAGAACTAAATGCTTGCTGTTGAATGCATGTGTTACGTTTTAAGATCTACGTATAAATATGCCTTCATTGTCCTCATCATCACAACAGGGTGTCCACTGAAAACCATAATAAGAACCATAATGATTTCTAGATGGTTAAAATGGCCCACTTGGATATTATAATCACAATTATTTATTACCAAAAGTATCATATTAGACAGAACTAGGTACTCGTCAGCCTTTTTAATTTGTTTTTACGCAACTTGTGGTGTAATATTCGTCTTATCAAAGAATAAGATTATTATTTTAAATAGAACAGCCTTGTATTTCTCTATGATAAATCCTAGTCACTATTTAACTCCACATAATCTGCACACTATTAATCAACCGAGCACTAAATGGGACAAATCCGCCATATCTTATGGTGGGAGCAGGGGCTTTGCGGGGAATGATAACTTATGCTTACCAAAGATCAACGTATGACGAAGCAATATATCCGGATTATGCCTACAGGCACACTTGGCAGTCATTGGCATTAATCTGTCTTTTTAAGGCATTTTATAAGTAAACTAGCGGCCGCCCGCGACTTCGTAGGCGTGGATCCCGTTTTACCCTCTCAGGGGTGGAGTTTCGTAAAATACTTTTTTAATGCCTACGTCATGACATTTCCCTGCATGCCAAATTTCAGCCAGTGTTTTGGGCTGTGCGTTGATAGATCACTATATCAGTCAGTCAGTCAGTCACCTTTGAGTTAATATATTTTATAAGTAAATGTTTGTTTATCTCAATTTTAAAAGGTTCTTAATTAAATTATCCACTAGAACTTTCATAATACACAAAGAAAGAGCTAAATTAATTAGTGAACTAATTGCTACCCAGTGCAAATCAAACTCATACTACATTATGTGTTTTAGTTATGAATTTATTTATGGACCAACCACGGGAACAACCCATTTGGAAAAAACTCTCCGAACAAGTTCTAAAACAAAGGCAAAGAAAAAAAAAATTACGTTAGGTACGTTAGTAATAGCATAAAAGTGTGACGTAGGCTTTGACGTAGGTAAGTAAGTACATAAATTTATTTCGGATTTTTTTCCTCTAACTTGTGTTAAAAGTTGCCTGTTACCAATTTTTTTAAGTTATTTAAAAATTATAATACATAGTTATCTTCAATGTTCAGCAGTTGACGTCCTATGGCTGAGATGATGATGATAATGATGATATACATTTTCAGTAGCATTTTTTTTCGGAATTATGAGCAATATCTTGAGCTACGAAAATTCAATTATGTAATTCTCTTATCAAATCTACAAGTAGCTTATCATATTCAGGGAAATATATTTTCCCTTTTGCTAGAAATGATTATAATGTATCTTCTTTTCCGTTAACACATCTTTGCCATTTCCTGCAACACCCGTTGGTAATCGACGTATGGCGTAGATGCAGTAGGCTTACTATAGTTCAATAGTATTATTTTGTTTATTGCAGGAGCATCTAAAAGAAAGTAAAAACGTTTTCGTTCAGTGATTTTCATAGTACAAAATATGTAGGTATAATGTGTTTTTTTTTAATTGGTTTGAAACAATATTAATAACTAGTAGCTGGAAATGTATGTACTTTTGTAGTTTATGGGACAAACTTATATTCACTCGCTCCACCAACCATAATATTCGCGCCACTTGATGTAAGTATTTATATTGCATCATAGAACCTACATAAGACCAGACCATGTTTCTTTTATGTGAAGAAAATAAGTCGATGGTAATGCTATTTTGATAAAACTGACTGTTTAATCTTTTCACGCAAATCACTGAAGCGATTTTGAAGAACATGGCATCACCTCTGAAATTCACGAGAGCAAAGCCGAATAAAAAAGCTACTTGGTAATATTACATATTTTGGTTAAAGTGGTTGCCATTTTGGTTCAAACAGCTTTATTGATCTTACTAATAAACGATGAACACTAGCTACCAGCGACCTACTGCTATGCAGTCTGGTGATGCAAAAAAACTTTTTTTCTTTCTTTTTATCATGTAGGTATCCTTTCACTCTATGCCGATTGCCGAGTCTACCGAGTCCCCTTACGTTAAACACACTCGTCCTGGTTATTGCTAAGCCGATCCATCACGTTGAGAAGTTGTCCAAATGCGAGTTTTACAGGAGCGGCTTTTTCATTA